GCCCCCCCGCTTCCCCCCTGTGTGTTATCTCCTTTTTTTTTTTCTTCGAATTTTCACCGCCCCCAACGACGAGCCAGCGACAAGGGGAGTACAAGTTCGACCCGGTGACGGAGTACATGATCAAGCACGGCCGCAAGAACGGCCAGTTGGACGTGGCCTGGGATTTCTACGCCAAGTACACCATGCCCAAGTGAGGCAATGGCTACTTCTTCTTTTCATGTTTTGCTGTTTGTTTTTGTGTATTCCTTTGTTCATCTTGAGCTTGGCCCTCATAGTGACCCCAGAAACGGGGCGTGTTCTCTGTTTTTTTATTTTTTATTTACATGTTGGTAACGTTTTTTTTTCTAGGTGCGAATGCCGCCGGGCGCTCCCCTGTAGATTTGCGTATTCCCCCAGATACCCCCAGATAGATAGCCCGACGGGGCGATCACCTCCGGGGTAATACAGGGCAATGACAGATGCTCTGACAGATGAATGACCAAAGCCGAGGACGGCGGACGGCATGTGCCTGGACTCGACCACGCGAAACCGTTGGGCATCGACCACGCGGAACCCTTGGGGTATACAGAGGGGGTCCCTGTTTAGTGGTCCCTGTTAAGTGCCGGTATGTGCCCGGAAAATACACCGGCACCATACCGGGCATTGGCACTACTCAATCGGCACTAAACAGGGACCCCCTCTGTAGTGCAGCACAAGGAACAGCAACATGTCGTTCATTCCAAGCGTTGTTGTTTTGTCCCTCTCTCTTTGCTCCAAGGCTAGCCCCCATATGGCATGACCCAACAGTATGGTGTCACCCTTGTTTGAGGGCAACAGCCACACGTACACATCCCCTTTTGCTTAGTCTAAACCGATGGTACGTAGTTTACTTCCTGTCTAACGTGTATGCATATGATCGTGTGGACTCGTGTTGGACAATGTATGATCGTGTGGTCTCGTGCCGGAAAAATAGCAAAATGAAAGGTTTTGGTGGTGGTTTTACGTACCTACAGTACATCCTGTGTGCGATCGTGTGCTTTCGTTCTTGCAACATCTGAAAACCTAAGATTTGATGGTGCGTAAATTTACATGCATACCTACCTATCTTGTGTGTAATGGTGCGTTTTCGTGCCGGCATTCACGACCAAACGATGACCACAGGTTTGGTGGTAAGTAATTTATATTTCCAGTTTTTTGCCGATTGAGGTCGACACACGAAGCAAGGAGTCACAAAAAATTGATGTCGAAAACTATGGGCTAAAAAATTTACATGCCTAAGTACCTTGTGTGTGTGATGTTGCGTTTTCGTGCTGGCAATGGTAATATGGCAATGGCGATAACGACCAAACGATGACGATGGCGAAGGTTTGCCCTAGCCGAGGATGGCAGCGGGAGGGAGTACCGCCTCCAGGAGCCGGGAGAGGAAGGGGGGCAGTTCTACGGCCTATGGAGTACCCCTCTCAGCCAGCTCGGAGACTTCGGTGTGGGGGTCGGGTGAGCGTCGAAGTAGCGTGCGGCCTTCGTGCCTGCTTTTCTTGGAGGTCTTGGCGTGTTGCTCCTTTTTTTTTCTTGTCCCATCTTTTGTTGTCTTTTGACCATGTTGGCTCTTTATTTGCGGCCTTTCTTTTGTTTCATCCCATGTGTTTGTTTCATGGTGGTGGGCTGGTACGCCGAACAAATGCACCGAAACGTGTGTGGACTGGCGTGCTAGATTAGACGGGACGAACACACACATTTTTATCAACACTCAACAACGATGATGATTCGTGTACATGCCTTATGTACATGCTTGCAAAACGCCATTTCGCAGTCTGTACTTCCAGACGATCGTGGTGTGGGGAGTGGTCTTCCTCCTGGCTGGGCTGGCGAATCTCGACACCATCAAGTACTTCCGCGAAGGCGGCTACTCCAACGGGCAGGGGCTGGTGGACGAGGAAGTGTGAGCAAACCAACGTTGCTGCTTGTTGGCTGTGATTCCTTGTGGTATTTGTTTCATTCGCCCTTGCGGTTGTGGTGGTGAACGTGATTCATTTGCGGTTCGCTTTTGCAAGTAGTTGTTGTTGGTGAACGTGATTCAGTTGACATCGACTGGGTGTTCTGGGATTCGCCGGCAAGACGACTGTACAGACCGAGATGGTGGTGTTTGTTCCACCCTTGCGGGTGGTTGTCACGGGGGGTCGTACATAGCCGTGGGGGCTGGTATCTGCTCGATATTCCTGCTTGCGCTTAGTTGGTGATATTTTGTCTTATGTTTCAATCCGTTTTTCAGCCTATATGGGATCGGCCGTGTTAGCGCGATAAAACCGCCCACCTCCCACTCTCACGTGCCATCTACACACATGCCCTCATCATCATCTCTTCCGTCCTTCTATCTCGCTCGTCCGCCCTTTTCTACACGCTGACGCTTTTCGTTCCCCGTTTGTGCTCTCCGTGCCTTGCGCTCTTGTCTCTCTGCGATCTGATTGGTCAGCTCGAAGGGTTCCGCCGCCTGCACGGAGCGCGCGGTTGTCTGCCTTGACACGGAGTGCGACACGTGGTCCCAGTGAGTCAGCACGAATGTATTAATTAATAGAGGTACATTTTAGAACTGTTTTTTGTCGTTGAACAGCAGTCCCGTGGTAGAATGTAGTTCATTTTAGAATTTATTTTTTGTCGTTGAACAGTCCCGTGGCAGCACTGCCGTCGCTCGCAGACACCACACCCTGCTTGCTATCCACGCCCTCTCTTGTCTTTCCTTGCTGAAGATGTACAATCTCAAAAGGGGCATACCGAATGAACAGTATTGTCCCCTCTGCGGCCGGTGCTTCCGTCCGCGCCGCGTAGTGTTCATTTTCCCGCACCTGTGTGGACTTATCCCCCCCTGCGTCTTCTGTTCGGTTAAATAACCATTCACTGGAGTTTTAAATTCGCGATGAATATGGCTTCTCCTGCCCCCATACAATCGCCATAATTACCACTACATGATCGTGTCTGCCAGGCGTGTGAATTTCTCCCGGCGATTCTCGCGTTCCTCCTACAATGTACGTGTTTTGTAATTGGTATTCACGACGTGAAACGTTTTTGTCACGCTATGTATCCGGTCGATTAGTATTCGAAGGACCTCGGTCATCGGGGAGGGTATTCATCTGCTCCTCACGATGGGTCTAGTTCGATCCAACACGCGCGCGTCAAACAGTAAGGCGTGAGCGCGGAGCTGCGTGAGCGTTGTTTCGACAGCAACCACTTTCATTAACGAAAGCCGTCCTCAACACTGGCGTTCAAGCGTTGGAATTGTGTTTTTCGGTGTTTTTGGGATCACTGGAGAGCTGACCATGTTCTCGATGTCGACCGACGTGGCTTGATTTTTTTTTGCCTCGTGTGTACTTCGGATAACGCTGATACCCACCCGCTCTCTCTGTGGTGCGACTGCTGTCCACACTGCCACAACGCTTGCTCTTCCTCCCTCGCTCTGGGAAAATTCCATGGGAACCAACTCGCTGTTGTTGCTGCTGCTGCCGTCTTCTGGCTGCTTGGAATGGTGGTAGGGACCACCGCCCGTGCTTGCTCGACCTCGAGGTCGGCTTGTCGGACTTCTTAACCACGTGAGAGATGAGACTGATGAGACTGATGAGACTGATGAGACTGATGAAACTGATGAGCACATGTAACGCTGTACCATGTAGATCTGTAAGTTTTTTTTTTATGTTGTTAGGGTTAGCTTGGAAAACGTCGTCACAACTGGCAGGTGGCAGCCAGCTGTGGGCTGGGTTGCTGCTGTTCCGTTGCATCTTGCATCAGCCACTACTGCTGTCTTGTGCTCTCATGAGCCAGCCCATCCCAGAGGGATCCCTAGCAATGTACTTTGTAGACAGCAGGCGCGTGATTGTGGCGTATTCGTCGAACGTCGCTGTCCGTGCTGAGCTCTGACCGCGTTCCCTGGCACCATTCACATCCCGGGACGCCTAGGGCGCCTAAGTTGTCTCAGAATCCGCATGCCTCCCAGGCCCAGGCGACGACAAGCGGAGGAGTGAATAAATTGCATAACCTAGATTTCATGGGTAACACTGTTTTGCCGGTTATTCTGCTGCTTCTTTTTGCGCGGATGATCCCCTCACACGACTGCTACATCCCCCTTGCCACACGGCACCAGGGTCGGGCTCTTCATCGTGCTGCTTTGTGTGGGAAAACTCCAGAACATGTGGGCTAAGAAGCTCGACCTGGCGGAGCAAACTGCGGGGGTGAGTGCTGCACGCATCTACTGCTTTGCGCCTATTTAATACAGCTGCTTTCGTTGAAGAGTAACCTTCGCGGGAGTAGTCACGCTGTTTCACAGCAGCATCACGTCAAGTATTAGAGGTAGACCACAAACATGATCACAGTATTGTAGTATCATCATCACACCAACCCTTTCATGCAAGGTCAGAAACATTGTTACAGTATTTCGTACCGCAAGCAGTTCTGTCACTGCGGTGCGTGTTACCACAGCATGCACCTCAGGACAACGCGATCAGCCATTCATTGCCACTGATTGGTCCTCGCTCTATGCCGTCTCGACAGGATTACTCGATCTTGGTAGAAGATCCCAACCCCCATGACACTCGTCCCGGAACGTGGAGAAAATTCTTCCAGAGGTAAATTGATCATCGCCTGTTTCGCTTGTTTTTGAATAGGGATTCTGCTTTTTTAATGTTGATTTTGCTATGCAACAGATGGTGTTGCTAAGGTGTTTGAACTACGTTTACGTGCTTTTCCGTTTTGGTCCCCAGAGAAACTGTTCCGGGCGCTGTGTCTAAAACTTGCGTGTTGTTTTGTCGTCGAGTAACTGGCTGCCAATTGTGTCTAGCAACGGTGTCATCCGAAGTTTGCGCAGCTTTTGATTTTTCTCTGACAACACGGGATCAAGTTCAAAAACCAAGGTATGCCGCTTTCTCCGTCTGACCATCACAACTCCCCCCCCCCCGCAAATCATGCGTTGTTGCCGCTCGATGAAACCGCCTTGTTTATCCGCCTCGATTATGCTCCCGTGCATCGTGCAGCCACTTCGGCCATGTGACGTACGTGACTACCGCGGTGCAGTCCGGCAAGCTTATCGCCCTCCTCAGGAAGCGCTTCGGCATCATCGAGAGGATTCGTGTGGAGGCGGAAGGGGGTCAAGAGGAAGAGGACATCGCCAAGGACCCGCTGGCGGTGATGTCTAGGGACCGATGGCCCGCGCCGTGCTGGAAGGTGCGTCTGCTTCGTCACGCAGCAGCGGTGTAGATGCAAGCGTGGCAGCTGGAAGTGGGTTGATGGGGGGTTTTCTGTCGAGGCTTTCCTTGACGGTGACAACTGCTGCTGGCATTGGCTGTGTTGCCTTGCATTTGTGCCATGTTGTCACTATCTTTCCCTTAACCTCGGCTTGGCTGACGTGTACCCCCCGCCCCCCCCCCCCCTCC